GCTTTCAGACATTCGAGAACCCTGGAATCCACTGAGATTGCCTAGAGAGCTTCGGGGGCAGGTGTGCAGGCAGTTCCAAGCCCAGAGTCCCTGATTCAGTAGACTGGGGAGAGGTTCAGGGCTCTGCGTTCCTATCAAAGTTGCTGGGTGCTCTCTGTATTCCCTTGGAGAAGCCACCCTGTGCAGAAGCCATACTTCCCTAGAAAACACAGCCCCCAGAATCGAGTGGAAAGGGGCTTGCAAGCACCCCAAAGTCCCTCAGCGCTCCAGGTCAGAACTCTCCTGGAGTTCTGAGACCCTGCTGCACCCTGAGCTCCCAGGTCTTGAAAGCCCTCTCCCGTTGGTATTCCAGATATCCCTGCCAGATGTTCAACAGGAGTTGTAGCAAGAAAGAACAAAAAGCAGCCACACTGGAACTCTCAACAGCAGAGCATGTGGTCTCCACCCTGCAGCTCTCTGAACTAGGACAACGGGAGGGCCGGGCTTTCCTAGATGGCAGCCACCTCTGACTCTTGCATCACAATCCTTGATGGCCAGGTCTAGACCATATTGCTTCTTTCCTTTCCGTTTGTGGGTACCACCACCTCCCCACAGCCTGACAGCCATCCCACAATGCCTATAGTAACAGGAGGGGTCCCTGTCTCAGACCCCAGCCCACCAGCCTTAGGAGCCCTACTGTCTGCAAGTGAACTAGGCAGCCTACTCCCCCATGATAAGATTAGCAGTGCCAGGCCTGGTGGCACACGCCTAAAATCCCAGGGGCTTGGGAGGCTGAGACAGGAGGATTGTGAGTTCAAAGTCAGCTTCAGCAACTTAGCAGGTCCCTAAAGAACTCAGTAAGACCCTGTCTCTAAATAACATACAAAAAAGGACTGTGGATGTGGCTCAGTGGTTAAGTGCCCCTGGGTTCAATCGCTGGTACCAAAAAAAAAAAAAAAAAAAAAAAGATTAGCAGGCCCCTCCACATTCCATTACATTTATACCACTAATTGGTGTTATAATCTTGGTATTGTAACTTTTTTTTCCCCAGTTTAATCTCCTAATCTTACCGCTCAAAAAGGCTTAAAAACCAGCTGTTTGACATTGGGGGTGAACTGAATGGCAGAGCATTTGCCTAGGATGCTCAAAGTCCGGAGTTCCATCCCTAGCACAGTAAGAAATTATTTAAAATATGCAGCCAGACATGGTGGTGCATGTCTGTAATCCCAGCAATTTGGGAGGCAGAGGAAGGATTGCAAGTTCAAGGCCGGTCTCAGGCAACTTAGTAAAAACCTGCCTCAAAATAAAACATTAAAGGGGCTGGGGATGTAGCTCAATGGCAAAGCACCCCTGAGTTCAATTCCTAATACCCAAGACAAAATTGCTCTGCTTGGTTAGAATCTAACTACCTGTCACGAAGTGGAAGATGGAGGTAGGAAAAATTTACCACCTGATTACAGAAGAAGTTGTGCTCACCTGTTGCAGGTGACGATGTGATGTACGAGGGCAGACCGACTGGGAAGAGTTTAGTATGGAGGAATTCCACAGACAGGGTTTCTGTGGTACTGAAACAACTGAACCATCGACAACTCAGAGCAATGTTTCTGGAGAGCTGGCCACACTTGAATAGGAGGGAGACACTGTCCTGGGTTGATAAACCATGCAGTTTATGATTCACTAGCATCCATCGACCCTGGAAGCAACACAGCAGTCAATATCTCCAACTTGGGGGTGGGGAGGTGCTGTCTCTGATTTTGGATCCTGGCTCACAACAGCTGTGGGTCCTGGGCCTCTCTGAGGTTGTTTCCTTACTTGTATTAAAAAATATGTAGATGGTAAGAGCCTCTGGGAGTGACAAATGATGGCTGTGACATTCACCCTGCCAGAAGTGGGGCTCAGAGTACCTGGCACAAAGTGAGTGCTCAGTAAGTGTTTGTTGAATGAATAAAAGATGAAGCAGAATTTGGATAGGCATATAGTTAAGTGGTTAGGAGTCTCAGGACTGGGGTTGAAAGAAGAGACTGGAATCTCATCTGTCCTTGAGAGCGTTATGTGGTTGGGAGAACAGCATTATCCATCTCTTAAGAGTTTGGAGGAACAAATGAGCTCATGCCTGTTCTCTGCTTGGTCCAGGGCCTGGCACATGGGAGGCTGAATGGCAAGGGTGAGGACTGCATTTCAGGTGTGATGTTGGGGGTGTGTGAAGGGCTGACAGAGGAAATGCAAAGAGGTTTGGGAACCTTGAGAGGTAGAGTTGGATAGGCGGGTGGGCCTAGGTAGCAGGGGGCAGCCAGGAGGAAGTGAAACTTCTATAGTCAAATGTTTGCATTCCACCCAGAGCACCTGCCCCATCCTCTGCCTTCCTGTCTCCAAGTTCTATTATCACCATAGTCTCCTGAAATGGGATGGGGGCTTGGGGGGCCGGGGTGTGGAAGAGGCACATGCTCCTTTAACTTCCAGGAGGAAGAATACAGCCAATTTGGCCTTAGATTTTTAATAACTACTGAAATTGGCAGACTTCCTCCTTTTAAATCAAGGGGGACATTTCTGATTCCCAAACTAGAAACCAGTTACATACAGGCTTAGCTTAGCTCCCACCTGCCCAGCCCAGGACTTCCTGGCAAGTAGGCATGGTAGAGAGGGCAAGAAGAGGTGCATCCAGTCGTAGCTGAAAGGCAGAGGAACCCAAGTTCCTGAATGGCCTGCTTCCTACTGCACCCCAGCTGTCTGAAGACCACCCTAGCCCACTGAGCTTCTCCTCTGCAGCGTGGACAAGGAATGAAGCAGACTTCTCCTCCAGGCTGAGAGGCACTGGCCAAGATTTCGAGCTGGCAACTCTGGACCCTGGAGCTGGAGCCAGCTCTGCCACAAAGAGAATCTTGGAGGTCACTCTCTGGGCTTCAGTTACCTTTTCCAGGGAACCCAGGGTTCAGACTAAAAAAGCAATGAGCCTGTAAAGTCCCATTGGATTAATGCACATATCCTAGGGGAAGAGAGAGGGCCTGATATCTCATAACATTTCCACAACCCAACACTCCACACAGTGAACCCACAGGCAGCCATCATCATCCCTGCTTGATGGGATGAAGAAACAAGTTCAAGACTTCACTGACAGCTGAGATTCAGGCTCTCTGCCCTATAGGCAGTCAGCTACCACTTCTCCAACCTGGTGCTCAGGTGTTCCACTTTGGACTTTGTCAGAAACTTTCACTTTTTAATTTGCCTATCACTCTGCTCTCTGATAAGTTCAGGGAGGAAAGGGCTATGGGACAAAGGACAGGAAACATGAATGGGAGAGGAATCCACCTATTTGACGTCTCTAGGCTGGACAGGGCACATCTGTGGTCACAGCTTGACCAAGACCTTAACAGGATCCCCCAAGATCTCAAAAGGCTTGGGCTAAGGCTGTTCATCTCTCAAGTGACTGACCAGGGATCTGGCCTAAAAACTCCCTGTGGGCTCTAAGGCCAGCATTACCTGATGTCAACTCCATACCTTCCTCCCAGGTTGCCTGGTTGAGGCCACCTGTGCACCACTGAAGGCCTCTCAGAGAGCCTTCTCCTCCTCCTCCTCTCCCAGAGACACCTTCTACCCCACTATATCCACTTATCCATCAGACATTGAAGCACCTGCTCCCAACAGCTCCTCTGCAACCTGCTGTAGAGGTGGGCCCAGGCCCTCCAGGTGCACCTGACTGATTCCATCCACTGAATGTGGGACCCGGGGATTTGCATTTTTTTAAACAATATTTTTTAGTTGTCGATGGACCTTTATTTATTCATATGTGGTGCTGAGAATGAAACCCAGTGCCTCACACATCCTAGGTAAGTGCACTTCCACTGAGCTACAGCCCCAGTCCGGATTGGCATTTTTTAACAGAGCCTCCAGGTGACTGAGGGGGCACACCCATTGAGACCCTTTGGTCTTGTGGACATGCTGGCCTCTAGCACTGCATTCTTTGGACTGCCAGGATCCTCTGAGGACCCAGCCTGTCCCTCTCCACTAGTAGGCTCCTCCTGGCTCCCAAGTCAGATAAATCAGGGTTCAAATCTTGTGCAACTTGCTGAGTGTCTTTGCAAAATACCCAGGCTCGCTGAGGCTCAGCATCTCCATCTGTAACAAGAAATAATAAAGATGCCTTCCTGCTGTGATGATTAGCTGGGATACTGTGTGCAGAGCCCTTAGCAAGAGGCCTGGAACACATAAATGTGCAATAAATGTTTGCTATTAATTATATCATGACTGCACTCTGATGGACAGAAATACTTCCCTGGGGCATTTCCAGAACCCCACTTCTGGAGCCTGTCGCAGAAGTGGCTCCGAACACCCTCCTGCCCTCTGCCAGGGCTTCAAAAGAACCTGTGGGAATTTTCCTTTTCCCTGCAGATTGCGCCTCCTGACTCCCACACGAAAAAACTGCCAGTCGCACCCTCCTTCATCTAGCCAGAGTGACCAAAGTTCCAATCACACCTCTCCAGGCAGCCTGCCCCCAAATTTCAGGGAACTGGATAGGAGGGGGAACTTCCCAGGCAAGGGCTCTTTGGGCAGGGGCGGGCACTGGGCAGTCCAGCCTCCTCTGGACCAAGGTCCCGCGCCCCTGCTGGGACTGTGCTAGAGCCAAGGGCCAGGAGAGGAAGATCCAGGAAGGTCCCGCCCATGGCTGCCCGCCCTCCCCGGGGACCGGCTGCACAGAGCCTGAGGGCATGCGGAAGGCTCTCGGCTGGGGGCCGCCAGGAAGGGCGCTTAGAGGTGCACCCCGAACTCTGATCGCCTGCTTCTCCCCAGTTCGGTCCCTGGCCCTGCCCACCCCGCCCGGTGCGCGCGGCTTCTGTCCCTAGAAGAGGAAGCGCACCGGGTGGGGAACCAGGACCGGGTTCTTCTACTACCGGTCGCACGTGGCTCGGTCCTAAAGCATGGAGGTCGCCAGGCGAGTGGCGATGGCTCGGGGTGCAACTGGGTGGGAGATGGGCTGGGGTCCCGGTAACGCGGCGCAGCGCACGGCGACAGGGAAGGTCACTCACCTCCGCGGCCCGCCGCTCCGTGCAGCGGCAGCGGCTGCAGGTCCGAGGCGGAGGCGGTGGCTCGCTCCCAGGCTCCTCCTCTGCCCGCGCCCCGCCCACCCGCGGGGGCAGGAGCTGCGCGGGAGGTGGCCTCCGGCCAGCCCGCCGCTGCTTATCCGGCTCGGCCACCTCTCTCCCGGCCGCAATCAGGAGTGGCAGAGAACTCGGTCCCTGCCCGGCCCTACAACCCCGGCAGCAGCGGAGGAAGCGACCAACCAGCCTCCTCCTCGTGCCCTCGGCGGGAGGTTTGGAAACAGCCCTGCAGCTTATCTGTCGGCACACAGTTAAAGCGAGCAGAACTCCGGGCATGGAGTACAAGGTGACCTCGTCCCCAGCCCCGACCTGAGGGCCAGCTCAAATCCAAGTCCATTTCATGGCTGAGGTCATACTGGCAGGCCAAGTGGGAGGTTAAACATGCACAGGTGGGCAGAGGTCCCTCCAGCCGGCTGGGTGGACACCCCTTTCTTCCCCTCCAATGGAAGTGAGGACAGGAGGCCCCGCCCCCTCCCTCTAACAAGGTCGCATCCAAGCGTTTACGGTCCTCTCATAATCTCTGTCTCTTGTCAGCCTTTAGGGTGGACCTTTGACTTTTCCTTATAGTCTGCGGTTCCTATGCCTGGGGGCTGGGGGTCAGCCTCAGTTCCCCAGGATGTGCTGGACCTTTGCCTAGCCCCTTGCCCCAGACACTGCCCACTGCTGCCCGGACCCCTCATTCCACAGGCACAACAGGGAGGTGGCTCGCAGGTGGAGGTACCTTTGTGCGTTGTCTTAAGCCCTTTCTCAGCGAGGCCACATCAGCTGTTGACAGTGCCTCCTCTTCCTTACAGGTGAGGAAATGGGGGCTGATGGTAAAGGGAGGACACCAACTTCACTCATATCTGGAAGGCTGAATGGAGGTTTCCTAACCCCTGGGACTTTTTCTAGAATACTCCTGGGAGGAGGGGGCGCATATTCCACCAGCCCCTGATAAGCAGCTTCAAGTTACTCTTAGGAAGTGTAAGACTCCTGTTTTCCAGGAAGCCAAAATGCATGAGCGATAAGCTCTGGGGAGCCAGAGGTGGGGGTGCTAGGCCTCCAGAATGGCCCTGCCCTAGGACCCCAAAAGGTACAGCAGAACCAAGGAGGCAGAGTTCTGCCCTAAAGGCTGATGTGAGCCCCCGCCCGGCTCCGGCTCTGTCCTCCCATTAGCTCATGAGACCCACAATGAGCACCTTGTGCCTTCTCACCACCATGGGCTTCCTCCTGCCTGCAGTGTCCCCCTCTCCCCAGCTGGCCTGGACTGTCACCTGTCTTCTTCAAGGATGTACTGACAGGATGTACCGAGGTGCGTTGAACACCTTCTATGGGTCAGACTCTGGTGTCCTGAACCAGCCCAAGGGCAGAGCAATCAGATTCACCCTTGCAAGACCTATAACAGATCATGTCCCTCCTCTGCTCAAAACCATCCCTTGGCTCCCAAGGGTGACTCAGAGTAAAAGCCAAATTTTTGAAATAGCCTCCAAGGTCCTGCATGAATGGCTCTGGACCCCATCTTCTATCCTCCTTTCTACTCAAGCTCCACCCTGCTGAGCTGGCCCCCTTCTTTTTCCTCAAATAGATCAGACAGGGCCATGACCCTTGCAGTTCCTTCTGCTGACCCAGAAATCCCCACCACCCCTCCCTTCCTCCTTCATTTGCTGAAATGTGGCCTTCAGGAGCCTACCCTCATCTCCCCCACCCTGGATCCTGGGATGACTTCCTTCCTTCCTTTCTCCCTTCCTTTCTATAGGCTTTATCATTTTCTAATACACTGTAGCATATACGTTTTTATGTCTATTGTGTAGTAACTTTCTCCCATGGAAATGGAATCCCTCCAGGGCAGGGATTCTTGTCTGTTTTACTCATTGCTAAAGTAGCATGTGGCATGTAGTAGGTGCTCAGTAAATATTTGTCAAATGAACACACTTCCTGTCGCCCTCTTTCAACTCCTTCAGCAGCTCCGGGAAGTTTCCACCAAGGTTCCTGCCCACGCTGCTGTCTTGTATGCTCAACAAGCATGTGATGCTGTACCTGCATTTATGGGTCTCTGTGCCTGGGGTTGCTGAATGTTCTATGTATAGAGGCCCTAGGATCATCTTTTCCTTGAAGAGGAGACCAGCCCTTTAGCTATAAGGACAAGAGTATCCAGAATGAAGCCAGGCACATGCCTGTAATCTCAGTGACTCAGGAGGCTGAGGCAGGAGTTCAAGGCCAGCCGAGGTAACTTAGTGGAACCCTGTCTCAAGGTAAATTTTAAAAGGGCTGGGGATGTAGCGCAGTGGTAGAGCAACCTCTGAATTTAATCCCCAGCACCACTAAATAAACAAGAGTCTCTAGGGCGATAATCTAGATTTATCTTCTACTTGGACCAGAGGAAACTGGGATGTTGATTACTCTCAGCTTCTTGGATTGATCCAGCATTTGTAGGCTGGGATAGCATACATCCATTTCACCAAATAAATCCTCTAATTGACTATTAAAATGAGATGTCCACAGGAAGCCATGAGCCTCAATGTACTCTGACAGCCCTGGCCAGGAGCCAGGCCACCTGGATCTGTTCCTGCCTGGCTGGATGGGTGGGCTGTGTCCCAAGGAAGCTAGTGTTCCTTGCAGAATTGTGTGCTTCTTCCAGTAGACGGAGCACCCAGAGATTCCCTTCTGTGAGGGAGGGGATGAGGCTGTACTCAGGTAGAAGGGTCTTGAGGGTGACAGGCAAATGAGAGAATTGTCTTTGCCTTCACGAAGACCCAGTGTCACCCATGTTGGCCATACCCAGAGCTGAGAGAGGGCCAGGCAACTGGACCTTGAGGCAAGCCGGCAGAAATGTGCTAGGCCCTGGGATTTACATATATGAGTGGTGGTGCCAAACATATAGCTCAGTGGTAGAGTGCTTGCCCAACATGCACACAGCCCTGGGTTCCATCCCCAGCACCACAAAATAAAACAAGGCCAGGCGCAATGGCATATGCCTGTAATCCCAGTGGCTTCGAAGGCTGAGGTAGGAGGATTGCGAATTTAAGTCCAGCCTAAGCAATTTAGTGAACCCCTAAATAACTCAGTGAGACTTTGTCTCTAAAAAAAAAAAGGTGGGGGTGGGGCTGGGGCTGGGAATGTGGCTTAGTGGTTACACGCCCCTGGGTTCAATCCCTGGTAGAAAGAAAGAAAGAGGAAGGAAGGAAGGAAGGAAGGAAGGAAGGAAGACAACAAATCTTTTAAACATATATGAATATGGGCTGGGGTTGTGGCTCAGCAGTAGAATGCTCACCTAGCACATGCAGGGTCCTGGGTTCGATCCTCAGCACCACATAAAAATACATAAATAAAGATATTGAGTCCAACTACAACTAAAATATATATATGAATACACAGATATCTTCCACAGCACATGATTGTGAACCAGTGTTGTATATTGCACTGCATTGTATGGTGTGGCTTACAGGACATTGGAAACCCCCCATCCACATCCCAAATCTACCCCAAGGTCAGTAGTCTGCTGTGGTGCAAGGTGGCCCTCCTTGCAGTCCTCTGTTGAAAACTGAGGCTCTCCAGAGAAGATAAGTTTTCTGAGCTCAGGGTAATAAGACTGTGAGTCCTCAGGGAGATTTAACGGTGGCTGACGCAAGAGCATGAGGAAGGTTCTACAGGCAGGTGCTGTCGGGAGTGGGGGTAAAGGACTGGGTGGCGTAGGGAGGATCCCATTTTTCTATGGGATCTCCCTGGTACTTAGTAGTACTCAAGAAACTTGGCTTGTGATTAGATCAAGGTGACCAACCAAGTGTAGGTGGCCCAGTACCTCTAGGAAGCATTTGCTAAGGCCAGGCGCAACTGCGTCGTATCTACAGCAGTCATAGTACTGCCATTCCAGTCGGGGGAGATTAGAATGGCACCCCTAGAAAGCTCGAGAAGTCTGGGCTTCAGCTCTTTCTATTCCGTGACACCAGGAAGGGTTTTAGAACTGCAGCGTCAGGCCAGCTCCAGAGCTCCTGGATTAGACTTGCATGTTAACAAGACCCCCTAGAACATTACGCACATTCAAGATCGAAAGCACTGGTTCACAGTACACCTGAGGAAACTGGCAGTTCATTGCACACCTGGGTCAAGGCGGGTCAATAGAAGCCTGTAATTGAACGACCCTCGCCCTCACCAGGTTGCACTTCAACATTATACTCTGCTTTCCAGAAGGTCCTCGGGAGCCAAAGACCCTCCTTTAATCTGATTCTCAATTTCTATAAATATGAGGCAAATGAATCTACCCTTCATAGCACTCCGTGCCTGTTACACAAAACTTCAAAGGAAAAAAAAAAAACAAAGACAAATACACTTACTCTTTCCTGAACGTAGTTCCTTAGACAGCTCAGCCATTCCATTGGCGGGGCTCCTTTCCAATAACTGATCTTATTTCCCTTTCCACCATGGTGGCTAGGACACTCAGAACCATGTTTCCGACTCGATTATCCATATTAAACACATTTAATTTCCACATTCTTTTTTCCTAATCCATGATTCTATGTTTAGTTGACTATCACCTTATTGTTAAGCTTTTCCATTGTAAATTATCCCAAGCCAACATTAGGAACAAAATAAATAGGAAAGTTGTGTGGAATACAATGGCAAATTCTCCCTTTCTTTTTTTTTTTTCTTTTTCCCAGTGCTGGAGATTGCCCAGGGTGTCCTGCATGCTCGGCAAATGCTCTCCCACTGAGCTAAACCCCCAGCCCTTCCGGTTTCCTTTTGACTACTGTCATCCTTTCGAGGTCATGGCATGACTTCTACCAAATTCTGGAAAAAGGATGAAGGGGTTGGAGGAAGCATGCCTCCTTGGACATCTGCCAGAAGTTGTTAAGAAACCCCAACAGCTAGTGGGGGAATTGGCACAGGATGCTCCCGCTGGACTACATGCCACTCCCTGCTTCCTCCCGGCCCATCAGAGCCCAGCTCACCAGGTCTGCAGTGGGAAGTGCTGTCCTCATCAGGTGACTTTCCACAGTCCTGAGGAGTGATGGTAGGGCGGGAGCCCTGGTCACCAGGAATCTCAGCTGCCATGTCTCTGAGTGCTGCTCCTTCTGGTGTGAG